GTTAACTGTAATTGAAAAATAAAAAACAGCCCAGCTGGTGTGACTCAGTGGTTGAGCATTGACCTATGAACCAGGAAGTCACAGTTAGAATCCCAGTCGGGGTACATGCCCCGGGTTGCTGGCTCGATCTCCAGTAGGGGACCAGCAGGAAGCAGCCGATCAGTGATTCTCATCATTGATGTTTCTATCTCTCTCTCTCCCTTTCTCTCTGAAATCAATACAAATATATTTCATAATAAAAAATAAAAATCTAAAGCAAGAAAACATTGCTGAGAAAAATGAAACATAAATAAAGACATTCATGAACATCTTTAAAAGATGTTCATGAATTGGAAGACTAAATATTAAGATGGCATTTCTCTCCAAATTGATCTATACATTCATTGCATCCCTTATCAAAATCCTGGCAGGCTTTTTGTAGACATTAATAAGCTGATCCTAAGATTGTTATAGAATTGCAAAGGACCTAGATTAGTCAATAATTTTGAAACAAAGAAAGTTAAGAGACTTACAATATCACAAATGACAATGAAAACACAACAATCCAAAATCTATGGGACACAATGAAAGCAGTCCTGAGAGGGAAGTTTATAGCTCTACAGACCTACCTCAAAAAAACAAGAAAAAATGTTAGTAAATCATCTAACTCAACGACTTAAAGAATTAGAAAGAGAGCAAAAGAAAAGCCCAGAGTGAGCAGAAGGAAGGAGATAATAAAGATCAGAGCAGAAATAAATGACATAGAGACAAAAAAAAATACAAAAGATCAATGAAACCAAGAGCAGGTTCTTTTTTTAAAAAAATATATTTTATTGATTTTTTACAGAGAGGAAGGGAGAGGGGTAGAGAGCTAGAAACATCGATGAGAGAGAAGCAAGAAGCATCTATCAGCTGCCTCCTGCACACCCCCCACCGAGGATGTGCCCGCAACCAAGGCACATGCCCTTGACCGGAATCGAACCTGGGACTCTTTAGTCCCCAGGCCGACGCTCTATCCAGTGAGCCAAACCGGCCAGGGCAAGAGCGGGTTCTTTGAAAGGATAAACAAGATTGATGAACCTCTAGCCAGGCTCACCAAGAAGCAAAGAAAGAGGACCCAAATAAACAAAATCAAAAATGAAAGAGGCGAAATAACAACAGACCCCACAGAAATACAAAGGATTGTTAAAAAAAATACTATGAACAACTCTATTCCAACAAACTAGACAACCTGGAGGAACAGCTATATGCTCTTTAAAGAAACATGTTAAAAATGGAAAAACTCCCGAATGTTGAAAATAAAGGGATGGGACAGACTGACAGCTATTATAGAGGAGGAGAGAGGAGGGAACTGGATGAAAGACGGTGAAGGGATTAGCCAAAGAACATACATGCATAACCCAGAGACACAGACAACAGTGGTGATGGACAAAGGGAAGCGGGGGCAGGGGTTTGGTGGAAGTGGGCATGGTGCGGGGGGGGAGAGGAGGGACGGGGACATCTGTGATAGTGCCAACAATAAAGATGAAGTTAAAAAAATAAAGGGATGGGAAAAGTTGTAATAGGCAAATACCAGCAAAAGTGAACAGGCATAAGTAGAATTTAAGTGGGTAAGTATTTAGTAGTAAAGAATAACAAAGTTGCCCAGCCAGCATGGCTCATTGGTTGAATGTCGACCTATGAACCAGGAAGTCATGGTTTGATTCCCTGTGAGGGCACATGCCCAGGTTGCAGACTCAATCCCCTGTGTGGGGCAAGCAGGAGACAGCTGATCAATGATTCTCTCTTATCATTGATGTTTCTCTCTCTCCCTTTCCCTCTCTAAAAATCAATAAAAATATTTTTTTTAAAAAAAGAACTAAGTTAACTGAGACTAAGGAAGTCTCATCTTACCCCCCAGGAGCTTGAAAAACAGTAATTCATAAAAACATATGTATTGTCTTTACAGTTAATCTTCATATCTACTTAGCAAGCCCTTTCTTATTGTATAGAAGCTGATGTTAATTTTTATAGTGAAAATATGTATTTCTCATGTTATACTTTTAAACAATATTTTTTATTTATTTTTAAATATATTTCTTTATTGATTTCAGAGAGGAAGGGAGAAGGAGAGATAGAAACATAAATTGTGAGAGAGAATCATTGATCGGCTGCCTCCTGCACGCCCCTCACTGGGGATTGAGCCCACATCAGACATGTGCCCTTGGCCGGAATTGAACCAGGGACGCCTCAGTCTGCAGGCTGACGCTCTATCCATTGAGCCAAGCTGGCCAGGGCGTAAACAATATTTTTAATATGTTTTTTATTGATTTCAGAGACAGGAAGGGAGAGAGAGATAGAAACATTAATGATGAGAGAGAATCAGCCTTAGGCTGCCTCCTTCACACCCCCTACTAGGGATCGAGCCCACAACCTGGGCATGTGCCCTGTCCAGGAATTGAACCGTAACCTCCTGGTTCATAGGTTGACACTCAACCTCTGAACCACACCAGACGGACTCTCATGTTATACTTTTATTTATTTTTAAAAATATTTTTTTTTATTGATTTCAGAGAGGGAGAGGGAGAGATAGAAACATCAATGATGAGAATCATTGATTGGCTGCCTCCTGCACGCCCCACACGGGGGATCAAGCCTGCAACCCAGGCACATGCCCTTGGTTGGAATCGAACCCGGGAACCTTCAGTCTGCAGGCTGATGCTCTACTCACTGAGCCAAACCGGCTGGGTCTCATGTTATACTTTTAAAAGAAGGTATAACTTTTCTTACGCTGGAATGTAAAAAGGTGAATAAGTACAGATAAAGTAGAGAGTAAGTAGAGATTCAGATAATATCATAACACTAGAGGTCCGGTGCACAAATTGGTGCACGGGGGGAGGGGAGGGAGAACTGCGGGAGGTTGGCTGCCGGCTCTGAGGAGGGAGCTGGTCCTTGGCCCCCCTGGGAAAGGGACCACGTTTGCTGCCACCCACCCCTGGTTTCTGGTCCCATCCCAGGGCCCGAAGGCCCCAACGGGGTTGGGAGAGGAGGCGACAGTCACCAGTCCGGGTGTAGAAGGAATGGATGCTGGACACTGCCTCCGCCCTGCCACTGCGCAGTTCCTCACCTCCCCCCGGGGAAGGGAGAGGATGGGAGCAAGACAAACCCTTGTGTCAAGGACTGACTTTCAATAGATCACAGCAAGGGAGCTGCTCTGCTACGTACAAAACCCCAACCCAGAAGTAGGTTGTCTACAAATGGTTTAGCACCAGGGGCTGATGGTAGCCAGCTGTCCAGGGTGAGGGACCACGGGCAGTTGGCTGGCCGTGGGAGGTTGGCTGTGGGATCGCACTGACCACCAGGGGCAGCTCCTGGGTTGAGCGTCTGCCCCCTGGTGGTCAGTGTACGTCATAGCAACTGGTTGGTCATACTGGTAGTTCGGTCATAATGGTCACTTAGGCTTTTATATATATAGACTAGAGGCCCCGTGCACAGGATTCGTGCACTGGTGAGGCGTGGCCTGTGGGGATCGGTCTGTTGTGAAAGCGCCGCTCATTCCAGTAAGCTGAGCGGCTGCTCCCGCTGTGGACTTTTATATAGGACTAGAGGCCCGGTGCATGAAATTCATGCACGGGTAAGGTCCCTAGTCCTGGCTGGCAATCAGGGCCGATCTGTGAGGCGACCAGCGGGGCAATCAGGGGTCTCCGCTGGCACCCACCTTGGCTGGCCTGGCGCTGCCTGCCCACTGACCCCACCCCCTGCCTCCACCACTGGTCGCCTTCCTCTGCCTTGGCTGGCCTGGGGCCTGCGGGCTGGGGGCAGCTCCTGCGTTGAGCATCTGCCCCCTGGTGGTCAGTGTGTGTCATAGCGACTGGTCATTCCACCAGAGTAGGCCTTCCTTCCCCCCAGCTGCTGGCACCGGCTTCTCTCTGGCACCCAGGACCCGGCTTCCCTCTGGCACCTGGCACCCGGGCTTCCCTCTGGCACCTGGGACTGGGACCCCGGGCTTCCCTCCAGCCACTGGCAGGCACCCAGGAACTCGGGCTTCCCTCGCAGCCCCAGCATCGTACAGAAGGACATCCCGTCTAATTAGCATATTACACTTTTATTATTATAGATATATCTAGAGATGATCAGATTAACATTTTATAGCCAAACCTTTGGCTGCTGCTAAAGGATAGATTACAGGGGACAAGGATATGACCTAAATTGCCAAGTGAAAAATGCACACTACAAAGTAATATAATAAAAGCCTAAGCAACCATTACAGCAGAATGACCGCAACGACTGGTCACTATGATGCCCACTGACCACCCAGGGGCCGACGCTCAATGCAGGAGCTGCTCCCAGGTGGTCAGTGCGCTCCCACAGGGGGAGTGCTGCTCAGCCAGAAGCCGGGCTCACGGCTGGCGAGCGCAGCTGCCACGCATGGAGCCTCTCCCGACTCTGCAGCAGCACTACTGAGGCGGCAGTAGGCGCAGTGGGTCAGGATGAGCACGAGCAACATGGCACCTGGCCCCAATTCAGGCTCCTTCTGGCCACCTGCCACTTGGTGCACTGCTACATCCCCTGAGGGGTCCTGAACTGTGAGAGGGGACCTCTCTCCCCCAGTGCATGAATTCATGCACTGGGCTTCTAGTATATACTGAATTGTCGACCTTAAGCTCTAAAAAAATACTGGAATATCTCCAAGCACCTATATCAAAATTAGCAATAATTATGTTGAGTGGTAGAATTATTGGTAATTTTTCTTTTTCTTTATATTTTCTGGATTTTTCAAAATGATTACAATACAGTATTTTTATTATGAAGAAAATGTTACTTTAAAAAGGTAGATATTTCTATACGTTTTCTTTAAATAGAAATAGGGAGGACAGCTGAATATTCTAAGATCTGAAAACAGTAACTTTTATGGAAATTCAACAGTATTTCAAATGGACTAAATATTGAAAACAAAACAAAATCTGATTGCTTTCAATCTTTATGACTTTTAATGGAGATTGAAGTTCACCTAAATATTTTGGGGTGATATTTTCTTCTAGAAACTTGATCAAAATGCCACTGAAAAAGTCCAGGCAATGTTTATAGCCATTGATGAGCTCTTGTATGAACAGAAGTTGAGCATACATACTAAGAGTCTACAAGAAGAGTGCCAACAGTGGACATGTAGTTTCCCTCACCTCAGGTATTGAAGCCCTAACATTAACACATTCATGAATAATACTAAAACTTGAAAAGTAGATTTCAAAAAAGCTCTTATTATGAATCTTTATGGGCATAGTTTTGATGAACGTAAATAAGGCCAGGTAGTGTAAAGCTTCAGTTGAGAGAAAACTAAGTTGATGGAAGTTTCTTGGAGTTTTCATAACTATCAATTTCTGTACCTGTAAAACAATTTCTGTACCTGCAGCTGAGATATGTGTATTATGGCTGTCCAAAAGCCCTTCTTCTGAGTAAGACAGTCAGAAAATGTAAATATTTACACTTTGACCTACAGGTAAATTCTTAATTATAGTTGAAAGCACATATAAGCTGTTGGGAATCTTACTTCAGAAACCTTATTAGTGCACTTAAACACACATACTAATTTATAAAGCTTCATGTTCTAAAGAACATAATTCATGGTTTTCATTAATTTGGTCTGGCTGTCACCCATTTTGACAGGTTTAATACAGAGGATGGAGGAAAAAATTACAAATGTTTGCTCAGTTTCCCTGGATTTTTTATGGGGGGAGGGGTTGGCTATAATAGCGTTATCTTTTCCATGTTTATTCTATAGAAGATACATAAATCATTCTTAGTATCAGAATAAGGGTATAGTAGACCTCTATTAGAGCCCAGGTACTTGTTCTGAAAATATCTACATTTTTTTATTCATGCCAGGTAAAGGTGCTTAATTGTCTTTTTATGTTCATTTTGAAGGATTTTGGGTAAGCAGATAATCACTCCAAGTGAAGGTTATGAACTGTACCCTAGATCTCCTTCTGCTATTTCAGCTTCACATGAGGCAACACTGTCTCAAGAAAGAGATTCTACTATGTAAGTATTCTGATATGTAAGTATTTATGTATCTGAATGCATAAGAGTATTTATTTATGCATCTTAAGCTTGACAACTTATTCTTTAAATATTTTTTTAATGTTTTTATTGATTTGAGAGAGAGAAACATCAACCGGCCACCTTCTGCACTCTCCCCCCACTCCCCACCCCCCGGGGATGGAGCCGAAAACCTAGCCTGTGCCCTGACCAGGAATTGAACCGTGACCTTTCAGTTCATGGGATGATGCTCAACTAATTGAACCACTCTGGCTGGGCACTTCCTACTTTTTGATATTTAATAAAGCACAGCAAATTCTGTAAGATTGACTATAGTCTTTGTGCATATTAGAATTTTGTTAATATAATTTTTTTGTTCAAAAAGACATTCCCTAGGGTTTAAGGATATTTTTGTTATGTAAATCTATATATTATCTATATCTATATACATCTATCTACAGATACAGGAAGTTCCCTCTTGGAATAAATGTGTAGCTAGACCGGTTTAAACAAGTTTAGAGGCCTAAGAAATTGACCTTAAAATTTTTTTGAAAAAGTGATTTTGTTGTTTAAATGTGTAGTGTTAATTACAACTTAATCTTTTTATAGACGTTAAACTGCTGTTAGTTTTTTAGCTTAAAAGGGTTATATTAGTTAAAATGGCTAATTCTTTTGAACAATTCAAGCTCTTTAAATAGCAGCAAATTATACCCAAATAGGTTTATATCAAAACCTATGCTTACCTTAAATCTATTGTAAAAAAAAAAAAAATCACAGTTTTAATTCATTTTTTTATTATTTCTGTACTTTTTCCTAAGACTGTAGTTTTACTTACTTGATACCATCTAAGAGTTGTCATACTTACTTTGGAAGGTTCTTTTGCTTCCTGTCATTTCATCAGACCACAAAGTAAAGCATTACTGCTTTAGGTGTTAGGGTTATAGGATCTGATTATCAACTAATTGACTTTTCATCAGAAATGGGATTTGTTTGCTTTTCTCAAAGTGATTTAACCTCAAGGTTCTGGTCACTAGGCTGAGCTTTCTTTTTAATTTAAACCTCCATATTGCATCAATAAGCCTTTTTAAGTGTATTCCTTGTATATAAATTTCAGATTTTTACAAACTAATATATCCCACAGAGATGAAATACACATTCATTAATACTCATTGACAAAAATTGCATAGCTCATGTGATGTCATTAAGATATATTTTCTGATCTGTCAGTATCAACTTTATATATACCTTATTCTTAATTTTATAACTATAAACAGTAGTTTCATTTTGAGATTTGATCTCAAAGGAAATAAGGAATCAAGACTGAGCAGTTATCTCCTCCGAGGGGCTGAATCATCATTTTGTAACATACTACAGACCTTCTTTCTTTTCTTTCTACCTGCTCCCACCACTGCTTATTTTTGGTTCTGCTTTTATTGACTATTTGACTTACAGTTCTCACTGATGACTTTTCTTTACTATAGCACCGATAAAACAAATACCTATCTATGCTGATATATACTTAGATGAAACAAATTATCCAGCTATATTAGCATACCACTACTTATGGAAAGCAATAACAAATTAAACATAATCTTTGATATTTACTTCCATGTAACTACTACTTTGTCCACATGTGATATTTTCTCTCTTGAGTACCATTATGAACTCATAGCATTTCAAAGTATTTACATGTTTTGGGGCCATTTAAATAAAATAAGGATTACTTGATCACAAAAGCACTGCAATACCATCATGTTACTCAGAATGGCACGTAATTTAAAACTTATGAATTGTTTATTTCTGGAATTTGCCATTTAATATTGTCAGACCACAATTGCTTTGGGTAATTGAAACGGCAGAAAGTTAAACCATGGGTAAGGGGGATCCATTATATCTAAAGTAGTCAAGATCATAGAAACAAAAGTAAAAATGTGATTACCAAGAGGGGGAGAAGAGGGAGGGGCAATTAGTTTTTTGTTTGTTTTTTTTTTTTAAATATATTTTTATTGATTTTTTACAGAGAGGAAGGGAGAGAGATAGAGAGTTAGAAACATCGATGAGAGAGAAACATCGACCAGCTGCCTCCTGCACACTCCCCACTGGGGATGTGCCCGCAACCCAGGTACATGCCCTTGACCAGAATCGAACCCGGGACCCTTCAGTCCGCAGGCCGACGCTCTATCCACTGAGCCAAACCTGTTTCGGCCAGTTTTTAATGGGTATTAGCGTTTAAGTTTTACAAGATGAAAAAGTTCAAAAGAATAATATAAAGCATATCTTGGTTATATCTGATATTTAGTTAAACTAAGAGCCATTTTTAAAAATTGTATTACTCAAATGAGCAAATACCTCCTACCCTGGAACTGATTAATCAGTAGAGACCATGACCTTGACCATAACTCAACTCCTTTAGTCACCATGATTAATGTCATTCCCCTATATAACCCATCCTCTGAAAGCCAGGTCTTTAAGCAAATTTCCTCACCTGGGACTCCGGGCGTGGTGCCAATTCCTCAACTAATAAACCTTACTTTCTTTCCTGGAAAAACAAGTTGTATTGCTCAGATCTGACTGACTTTCTCCACAGTAAGCTTGCTGAAGTGAATGAGTCATCACATATTCATTGAATACCTGGGTTTGAAGAGAAATTTAAATGTAAATAAGAGAAGATGCCTGCCTTTAAGGAGCATGCATTTTGAACAATGATGGAATTATTGAAATAATCACATAACCTCCTGAGGTGCCTTTAAAGATGTAATTATGAATGTAAATATTCTTAGATTTTTTAAAAATTTATTTTATAGCCACAGCTGTTGCATCTGAAAAGATAAGCAGTATGCAATACTGCATAATATACCTAAGCAGAGTATGCCTGTGGCTAGTATTTATCCTTCCTGCTCTGAGAATTAATAAGCATTAAGGTTTATAGTAGTCAGGGGAAGTGTCACCAGGGCAAGGGAGTTTGAACTGTGAGAACTATTTATATTAATTAATATTTTCTTTTTCTTTCTCCCAGATTTGGTATTAGGGGAAAGAAGTTACATTTTTCAACTTCTTATCTTCATAAAGCATCTTCCATTGTCAAATCCCCTAGCTTGTGTTCTATGGAAAAAGAAGAGGAAGACTGTGTAATCCTCTCTGAAGGCGTCATAGAGGAATACTTAGCATTCGACCACACAGATATGTAAGTATTATGTTTTTTAAGCTTCTTTCTCATCTCTTATTTTATGTATTAATCCCTATTTTTTCTAAAGTATACTACCAACATTACCTATAATTGTCACTTTTTGTTACATCTTTTTTTTTTTTGTTGTTACATCTTTTCTATTACCTCTCAGAGTTCATGTGCTTAGTTGATATAAACCCCTGCTGCTGCCACAAACCAGACATCCTGGTGTGCTTTCCTCCTGCACATGTCATTTGCCTCTTCTTGACATTAAACATTTTTAAATGAGTTAATTTTTTCCTCCACATAATTTGATTTTACCCTTTGTAAGTTATCACCAGCAATTCATGGAATCACTGAAAAATTTTAAAAGAGCAGTTCAAGAGGTGTGAACTTCATTTACATAAATCTGATTAAAAAAGGGTATATACAGTTTATATAAAAATCTTATACTCAGCACATACTTTATAACTGATAATGCTTATGTATATCTATTCTTGTAGTCTTGACAATAGTCCTGTGACAGATATTATTTACCCTCTTGACAGGATAAGTGAGAGTCAGAGTAGTTAAATGATTTGTCTGAGAAAAAGCTAAAAATAAAACCTGTCCGATTCTAGGTCGAGGGTTCTCTTCACTATTCCACGCTATCTTTCTGAAACAACCTCTTAAACTATTCTTTTAGCTTTGATAGTCACAGCAGCATATCTGGAAGTGAGAGAATTTCATTTTAGGCTATGAGGGTTTGGTTAGGTCTAGTTAGTGTTGTGTCAAATGATTCTGGGCTCTTTTCCCATCATATTTCCTACCGAGCCATGCTTACTCATGTGCTCAATGCACACATTCTAGGGCCAGCTAAACATAACCCAGATTCCTGTACATAACACCTTGAACTAGCTCCTTGTTGCAAAAGAATCGCAATTAGGTTCTTTGGTTTTCTAGAGTCTGCCCCCTCTCCCTTTATTTCACCTGGTGTGGGTCAGATTGTCTATGTTTTCTCTTCCTTTTTCCTCTAGCCAGTCTTCTCCCTTGGTGCAGTACAGGATGTAATGTAACTGTTTCTCTGGATGGATGTATAATGTTTCCTTTTAGAAATGCACATTGGGGGACAGAGATGTAGGAGACTTATTTTTCACTACATGCATACATTTCTACAATATGAATTTTTCATCATATGAATGTGTTATCTCTTCTAAAAAGAAATAGAGATAGATTTGACTCACTGAGAGTTTCTGGGTTACAGATACAGTCTCCAAAGAGGCTCAGAGTAGCTTCCTGTGCTGTTGGGCTCTTTTTTCTTTCCAGGCAATTACCAAATGTTCATTTGGATTAGTAAAAGTTTTTAAATAATCTATGTGGACTCTTTCCCTAATGAATCATTGCCTTCATTGTGCAGCATAATCACAGTTACATGCACATCATTAAATGTCACATTAATATTAGTCTAAATGTTACTCAATTACAACAAAAGATTATTTCTGTATGCTTAGTTGTCACAGCTTGTTACTCAATTGACAATGCTCATCTGTTTAAAGCTAAAAAATCAGTGACTCTCAGGCTTCTATTTCTTGTTCTGTTTTGTTGGCAAAGTAGTGGGGTGGGGATAATAAGGGAAATACAGTCTCCTCTGTTGAGAACTCCCTTAGTTCACAAGGCAACTTGATACATGTGCTACATATGCTGGGCAAGGGGCAGGGAAACACGGGGTTCAGATCACACTTCTAAGGAGCACAGAGGACAGTGGTGAGCATTCAGTGAATAACCACAAAGTCTTTCCATCTTGCTTCTGTCACAGGGAAGAGGGGTTTCATGGAAAGAAATCAGAAGCAGCTACAGAGAAACAGAAATTAGGGTACCCTCCCATTGCTCCATTTTACTGCATGAAAGAGGATGTCCTTGCTTATGTGTTCGATGAAGTGTGGAGCAAGGTCCTGAGCTGTATGGAGCAGTTGACACGCAGTCACTGGGAGGGATTTGCTTCTGGTAAGGTTCTTTGTGAAAAAAAATATAAAAAGGTAATTGTTTATGATTTCTAGGCCCTAGCCAGTCTGTTAGATTATATGCTTCATTAGTGCAAAAGACTCATATTTGTATTTCCCACAGAAACTAAGAGATATTTAGAAATATTTGAGAGGAGCAAAAAGGCCTAGTCTATGATGACTAGACAGAGACTGTGCTTTCTCTTTGAATATAATTATTTGTGAGAAAAAAACATGTACAAGTGGCAAGTACATCTTTAAACTGCTTTATTAAAGGATAATTGATATGTAACAAATCATACATAAAGTGTATAAGTTGATAAGTTGACCTGTGTATACGCACATACCATTACCCCCAAAATTACCTTGCCCGACCCACCATCCCCAAGTGACAGTTAATCTGCTGTCACTATAGTTTTTGTTTTGCAGAATTTCATATAAATGGAATCATATGGTATTTACTCTTTTTCTATCAGTTTCTTTCACTCAACATGATCATTTTGAGATTCATCCATGTCCTTGTGTGTGCAATCATTTATTCCTTTTATTGCTAAGTAGTATTCCATTGTTCCATAATGTATCCATTTATCAGTTGATTAGGAATTTGGATTGTTTTCACCTTTGGGCTGTTAGATGTAAAGATGTTATGAACACCAGTGTACAAGAATTTTTTGGAAATATATTTTCTTTTCTCTTGGATAAATTTGTATGAGTGGAATAGTTCAATTACATGGTTAAATGTATATTTAACTTTTAAAGAACTGATTGTATTGGTTTTCTATGTTATACAAAAAATTATCACAGATTTGTGGGTCAGAAATCCAGGAACAGTCCTCTACTTGGGATCTCAAAAGGCTGCAATCAAGGTGTTGACTGGGCTGAGTTCTCATGTAGAGGCTCAACTAGAAAAGGATCTACTTTCCCTTTTGTGTGTTCTTGGAAGGATCCGGTTTCTTGTAGTCAGGGCAGCTTTCTTCTTAAAAAACAGCAAGAAAGACTGAGAACTAGTTTACTAGCAAGACAAGCTAATATAATGTAACATAATAATGGGAATCACATCCCATCACTTTTACCATCACCTATTGGTCTGAAAAAGTCCCAGGTCCTGCCCACGTTCAAAGGGCAGGGATTACACAAAGGTGAACACCAAGAGGTGAGCATCAGGGGAGCCACCTTAGAGTCTGTCCACTACAACCCTCCCACTGGCGCCCAATGATCATGTGCTCCCACAGGAAAAACACTTTCAACTCCTCCCAAGGTTTCCAAGAGACTCCTCTTATTACAGCCAGCAGCCCAGAAGTCCAAAATATACCATCTAAATCAGGTCCGCCTATGAGTCAAGTGCTTGGATGTAATACATTAAGTAAAGTTACTGGGGTACAGTTTCTTTCCATTCATACACCTGTGAAACTAAAGGTTATATGCACCGATATTTAAACATCTAACTATGTAATCTAACCATTCCATTCCTAGAGACAAGTTATCTGATTCCACACCCAACATACAATAGTGGGCCGAGAAAGGATAACAGTTATAGACATTCCAGTTTAAAGGGTGGGGGTGGGAGGACGGAAAGTAAAAAAGGGTCCATGTCAATTCTGAAATCCAACTGGGAAAATATTGGGAGTTCATTCATCAAGTTTCAAGGCCTGGAAATAATCCTCTCAACTCTCTGCTCCACTGACCAGGCTCTTTGTTTGACTATCTGAGTCATCTTTCATTTTTCATGAAAGGTAGCACATGTTTGCAGCCAAGTAGTTTTATCAGGCTGCTTCCTGCCAATAGAATTTTGGGGTTCTGACAGCCTTCTTCCATTTAGAATCTTTTGCCATCTAGAGAGACTGAGAATTTCTAAAATCATCAGGTACTGGTTTATTTATGCTTAATAATTTTTTCTTCAATGTATCTCCCTCATCTCATATTTTATTATAAGCAGCAGGCCTCACCTTCAACAATTTGATTGGAAATCTCCTTAGCTATATAACCAAGACTATCACTTAAAAGTTCTGCTTTTCACATGACCACAGGAGACCACTTCATTAACCTTACTGCCACCAGATAACAAGCATCTCCCTTCCACCTTCTATAAATATATATTTGACTTCAGAGCGGAAGGGAAAGGGAGAAATAGAAACATCAATGATGAGAGAGAAACTTCATCAATCGGCTGCTTTCTGCATGTCCCCCACTGGGGATCCAGCCCGTAACCCGTACATGTGCCCTGACTGGGAATTGAACCATGACCTCCTGGTTCATAGGTTGATGCTCAATCACTGAACCACACCAGCCAGGCCCTTCTAATAAAATGTTCCTCATTTCCTTCAGAGCCCTTCCCTCCAAATCCCGATTTCCACTAAGTCTATTCAAGGCAATTTATGCCTTCTCCATCATGCTTCTCTCCAGCCTCTATCAATGAACAATTGAAAATGAAATTAAGAAAATAATCCTATATAATAAAAGGCTAATATGCAAATTGTCCCTTCAATGACCAGTTAAACCAGGAGTTCAACCAGGGGTGGGGCTGGCCAGCCAACCACCCACAGCCCCTCCTCTCGGTCGGCCCTGCCCCCAATTTGCCCCCCCACCCTGATCAGAGGCGGAGCCAGCCAGCCAACCTCTTGTGTCCCCTCCCCACAGCTCGCCTGGCCCCATCGGCCCCAATCAGGGTGGGCCAGCTGGACCCCACTGGTGCACTAATTTGTGCTCCAGGCCTCTAGTTCATTTATAATAGCATCAGAAAGAATAAAATAAACTTAACCAAGGAAGTGCAAGACTTGTACACTGAAAACTACAAAACATTATTAAGAGAAATTAGAAAAGACCTAAAGAAATGGAAGGACAACTGTGTTTATGGATTGAAAGACTTAAAATCGTTAAGATGGCAATATCCCCCAAATAGATCTACAGGTTGACTATAATTCTTATCAAAATTCCAAATGCCTGTTTTGCAGAAATTGGACAAGCTGATCCAAAAATTCAGATGGAAATGCAAAGTACCCTGAATATACAAAACAATATTAAAAAAGAAAAAAGTGGGAGGACTCACACTTCCTGACTTTGAAACTTAATACAAAGCTACAGTAATCAAAACAGTGTGATACTGGCATAGGACAGACATAGAAATCAATGGAATACAATCAAAAGTCCAGAAATAAACCCACACTCTATGTCCAACTGATTTTCAACAAGGATGCCAAGATCATTCAATGGGGTTAAGTAGGGTATAGGAACAACTGGACAGCCACATGGAAAAGAGAAGGAAGTTGGACCCTTACTTGACACCATATACAAAATATCAACTAAAAATGGAAAAAAGACACACATTCAAGAACTAAAACTATATAACTATATAACTATATAACTCTTAGAAGAAAACAGAGTACGTCTTCATGAGCTTGTGTGTTGAAGTGATTTTCATGTTACTTCTTGGAGTTTGTTGAGCTATTTGCATCTGCAAGTTTATTATTTGGTTTGGCAGAGATTCTTAGATATGACACCAAACCCACAAATGACGAAAGAAAAAATAGATAAATTGGGACATCATCAAAATAAACTTTTTGTATCAAACACATTATCAAGAAAGAGAAAACCACCTACAGAATGGGAGCAAATATGTACAAATCATACAACTCATAAGAATCTAGTAGCCACAATATGTAAAGAACTACAGTTCACCTTGGCTAGTGTGGCTCAGTTGGTTGGAGCATCATCCTGTGCACCAAATGGTGGCAGTGTCGATTCTCGGCCACGGCACTTATCCAGGTTACAGGTTTGATCCCCAGTCGGGGCGTGTGCCGTAGGCAACCAATCAATGTTTCACATCAGTGTTTCTCTCTACCTCCTCTCCCTCCCTTCCTTTCTCAGAAACAAACAAACAAAACTACAATTCAACAACAAAAGGACAAACAACCCAACTGTAAAAATGGGCAAATAACCTGACTAGACCTTTCTCCAGAGAAGATATACACATGACCAATAAATACATGAAGAGATGTTCAAATGCAATTGGTTTGAGGATTTTGGTAGTGTTTTTTTGAACCATGCAGGCAGTATGAAATTGGACTGCAAAGATGAGTGAAGCCTAGCTCCAGACAGAATTCTCAGAGATTGTTTTTCATAGTACTGTTGCTGTGGGTCTGGAGATGGGTAACATTCTGTTTCTCTGCTCAGATGATGAGAGTAATGTTGCAATCACCAAATCGGCTCCAGAAAGCCCCTGTGTGCTGAGTGAACCACAACCTTTGGTCTTACCTCGAGTGCCACAGTCTAAGGTGCTGTCCATCACCTCAAATCCGGTAAGCCCCACAGGGGAATATACTAGAGAACCTAGGACTGTTTTTGCCAGAAGTTTGCTCAGTTATTTACCTGAACTTTATTATTTATGACTCAATTTTTTTCAGTAAAGTTTTGTGTTTATCACTATAATCCAGTGATTCTGTGTATTGACAAATTTAATTTCAGTTTTAAAAATTAATAGTAAATTAGGGTTAAATTATTCTCAGTCAGCTCAATCTAGACCAGGGGTGGGCAAACTTTTTGACTCGAGGGCCACAATGGGTTCTTAAACTGGACCGGAGGGCCGGAACAAAAGCATGGATGGAGTGTTTGTGTGAACTAATATAAATTCAAAGTAAAAATCATTACATAAAAGGATACGGTCTTTTTTTTTTTTTTTAGTTTTATTTATTTCAAACGGGCCGGATCCGGCCCGCGGGCCGTAGTTTGCCCACGGCTGATCTAGACTCAACTATGTGTCAGCCTGTTCTGGGAAGAATGAAAGGTATGATGAAAAGAGAGACCAAATCTCGGATTTTTTAAGGCCATTAACATTCTATCCTTTGAATTTGATTCCTTCTTTCTTTTTTTCTTGTCAGTGTCTACTTGGCTTTTGTGTTCTTCCCCCAAGTATTTGAATCTGTTGACTTGTTCCATACTTGGTGTTTTCTTTTGGGGTGTTTTAGCCCTTAGGTGTAAAAGGCAAAACAGAGAGGACAGAGAGAAGTGGTCTCAAGTCTATGGGCGAGCATGAAGATGGCCATTTCTTGCAGGTTGATGGGCCTGCTGATGACTGTTTTCATCCCTGTGTAATGATTATGTAGAACCAGTTTCTACATGATAGTTTCTCAGTGTTACTTGTGGCAAAAGAGTTGGGATAAAGGGAGCATAGTGGGAAGGGAAGAAAAGACTTTAATCTTTGTGTGCCATGCTCATCAACCCTGCATTTTATGGCCAGATTGAATATGTGGTTTGTTGGTATACTGAGCAGATATTGTGCAGCTGGATTTATAAATGTGTTATTTAAAAATAAAATCAGCAAGGCTCATACCTCATTACATTAAAGGGTGACCAGGTGAAATTATGTTCCTTGGATAGTAATAAAATACTTCTACATGTTGAATGGCTTGGCAATGGTTTAGGAAACCTAAGCCCTAATTAGTTGACTTCAATGGTTCTGATTACTGATAAAAGTAAGAAGTGTTAATCCAAACATTCTTGAAAGAAAAAGCAAGAGGAAAATGCATGGCAAAGGAGATGACCTGAGAGAGAAAAGAAACAGTACTCTGAGGTAGTGATGTGCGTCCAAGTAAGATTAAATCCTGCTAACGTTGCAACAATAGGATTAACTCCTTCCAATAAATAGTCTTCAGAATTTTGGTTATCATTGAGAGCTGACGACTCCAGCGGTAGTGAAGGAGAAAGGATTAGTTTGTGTAGAGCGATGGTGAAAAACCATGTTATAGTTTACCCTTATTTTTTCTTCTTTTAAGCCATTTATTTGGATTCTATAATTACAATTTTGGGGGCAAAAATGGCACCAGGTGTTAGACCAGTGGAGTCAGACCAGACCTTGGTTCAGTCTCCTCAGTACTTGAGTTCTGGCTAAGAAAGAATTCAGAGCCAAGATTCAAACTATAAGGTAAAGTTTATTTAGAAAGTCACAAAGATAAAAACATCAAAATAAAAAGCTTTTGCACAGCAAAGGAAACCATCAACAAAACCAAAGAAAGGCCACTGCACGCCCTAACCAGTTTGGCTCAGTGGATAGAGCGTCGGCCTGCGGACTGAAGGGTCCCGGGTTCGATTTCGGCCAGGGGCATGTACCTTGGTTGCGGGCACATCCCCAGTGGGAGGTGTGCAGGAGGCAGCTGATAAATGTTCCTCTCTCATCGATGTTTCTAACTCTCTCTTTCCCCTTCTCTCTGTGAAAAATCAGTAAAATATATTTTTAAAAAAAGAAAGAAAGGCCACTGCATGGGAGAACATATTTGCAAATGTTATCACTGATAAGGGTATAAGGGTTTAATCTCCAACATTTACAGGGAACTCATACAACTTAACAAAAGGAAGGTAAACAACCCAATCAAAAAATGGGCAACAGACCTAAATAGATACTTTTCGAAAGAAGACAGAAGAAAGGCCAAGAGACATATGAAAACATGTTCAAAGTCACCAATCATCCGAGAAATGCAAATCAAAACAATGCGGTACTATCTTACACCTGTCAGAATGGCTATCATCAACAAATCAACAAATGACAAGTGCCGGCGAGGATGTGGAGAAAAAGGAACCCTCGTGACCTGCTGGTGGGAATGCAGACTGGTGCAGCCACTGTGGAGGATAGTATGGAGTTTCCTCAAAAAACTAAAAATGGAACTCCCATTTGACCCAGTGATCCCACTTCTAGGAATATATCCCAAGAAACCAGAAACACCAATCAGAAAGGATATATGCACCCCTATGTTCACAGCAGCACAATTCACCATAGCTAAGATTTGGAAACAGCCTAAGTGCCCATCAATAGATGAGTGGATTAAAAAACTGTGGTACATCTACACAATGGAATACTACGCTGCGGTAAAAAAGAAGGAATTCTTGCCCTAGCTGGTTTGGCTCAATGGATAGAGCATCGGCCTGTGGACTGAGGGGTCCCGGGTTTGATTCCGGCCAAGGGCACATGCCTGGGTTGCGGGCTCGATCCCCTGTGGGGGGCGTGCAGGAGGCAGCCAATCAATGATTCTCATAATTTTTTTTTAATTTTTTATTTATTTATTTATTTTTATTTTTTTATTCTTTTTTAAAAAAAATATTATAATAAGTATTACAAAGGGTATTACATATGTGTCCTTCCCCCACCCCCCGCCCTTGACAATCCCTGCCCTCCCTTACCCCCCAGTGTCTTATGTCCATTAGTTATGCTTATATGTATGCATACAAGTCCTTCGGTTGATCTCTTACTCCCCTCCCTTCTGCCCCCCAACCCTCTCTGGCCTTCCCACTGCAGTTTGACAATCAGTTTGAGGCAGCTCTGCCTCTGTATCTATTATTGTTCAAAAGTTTGTAATGGTCTTTATTATCCATGAATGAGTGAGATCATGTGGTATTTTTCCTTCATTGACTGGCTTATTTCACTTAGCATAATGCTCTCCAGTTCCATCCATGCTGTTGCAAATGGTAAGAGTTCCTTCTTTTTTACAGCAGCATAGTATTCCATCGTGTAGATGTACCACAGTTTTCTAATCCATTCATCTACTGATGGGCACTTAGGCTGTTTCCAGATCTTAGCTATGGTGAATTGTGCTGCTATGAACATAGGGGTGCACATATCCTTTCTGATTGGTGTTTCTGGTTTCTTGGGATATATTCCTAGAAGTGGGATCACAGGGTCAAATGGAAGTTCCATTTCCAGCTTTTTGAGGAAACTCCATGCTGTCTTCCATAGTGGCTGCACCAGTCTGCATTCCCACCAGCAGTGCACAAGTGTTCCTTTTTCTCCACATCCTCTCCAGCACTTGTCGTTTGTTGATTTGTTGATGATAGCCATTCTGACAGGTGTGAGATGGTACCTCATTGTTGTTTTGATTTGCATCTCTCGGATGATTAGTGACTTTGAGCATGTTTTCATATGTCTCTTGGCTTTCTGAATGTCCTCTTTTGAAAGGTTCTATTTAGATCCTTTGCCCCTCTCTCTCATCATTGATGTTTCTCTCTCCCCCTCTCCTTTCCTCTCTAAAATCAATAAAATATATTTTTTTAAAAAAAGAAGGAATTCTTACCATTTGCAACAGCATGGATGGAACTGGAGAGCATTATGCTAAGTGAAATAAGCCAGTCAGAGAAAGATAAATATTACATGATCTCACTCATTTGTGGAATATAATGAACAACATAAACTGATGAACAAAAACAGATCCAGAGACAGAGAAGCATCAATCAGACCATCAAACCTCAGAGGGAAGGTAGGGGAGGGTGTGGGTAAGGAAGAGAGATGAACCAAAGGACTTATATGCTAGCATATAGGCCTAACCAATGGACACAGACAACAGCGGGGTGAGGGCATGAGTAGGGGGGGTTGGGGGGTAATGTGGGGATAAGGACACACATGTAATAACTTAATAAAAAAATTTTTTTTAAAAATGTGAGCTGTAGAAGGAATGGGATTAGGAGAAAGAGAATGAGGCAAAGAAAATGCACCTGGGGGAAGAGGGTGGGGAAAGGCACTGGCATGCTCCCTAGAAAGTCGCGTTCCTTTTTTTTTTTTTTTTGGTTCCATACTTGTGTTTTCTTTCCTAATAACAACAACAATAAAGGTCCTCTCTCCCTTTTAACAGTGGCTGCTAAGTGCTTTCATCTAGGTTGATCAGGCTTCTCCCTCCTGCTGTCATTTAGGAAAAGAACTATGACCTTGTTGTCATCTTGACGGTGAACTTGGGGCCCCAAGCTGGATTATTGGCAAAGATATTACAAAAGTTAAGGCACAGGAGAAAAATATATATGTGACCTAATTTGGAAATAATAACTTTTGGCAAAGTTGGGAAACTAAGCAGGTATCTTCACCAACTAATAATGAGTAACATCTTCTTTTAACATGTAGATGAGTCTCTGTCAAGCAACAGGTGGTCATCAGCCAAATGTCAACGGTCTCTTGGTTCATGGGATGCCTCTACAGCCAAGAAATCTCTCCCTGATGGACAAACTCCTGTAAGTAGTACAAAATTCTAATAGTCTATAAAGTTTAAGTAGAAGAAAAATCAGTCAATCAACATGTACGTATTGAGTAGCTACCAGGCAATCAGACATCTTGGGAATAAAAACATCTAAGGGAAATGGTCTCCACCCCCAAAGAGCTGATAATATAACTGGAGAAATAAAACACACACAGGTAGAAAGAGACCTAGCCTTATAGGGCATTTTTATGACTTAGTGCTAAGTGTGAGGTATCCAGAGGAAGTGCTATGGCAACCCCAAAGAAGGAAGGCATTTCGGTGGCTAAGTGTACATTTTGAACTCTTCCTTGAAAAATGGAGTTTGGATAAGCAATGAAAAGCAGTAAGGCTATTTTAGGTAGGAGAATTGATGTGTGAAAAGATTTTGAGAAGGAAAAATACAAAATATTTAAAAGGACCATTTTTGCTATAATAGGATAGGAGATAGGTCAGAACTTTAATGCTTCTGACCAAAGATTATTGACAATCTTTGAGAATTAAAATAGACCATAGTGCAATTAGTGGGAAAGAAAAAACTATGAAATTAATGAAGCTTGGTACTAAATTATGGGAGGTATTGAATGCCATGTTTCTGATATCCATCCATGATGCATGTTACCTTCTCTTTTATTGCCAAGCAATATGCTATTCTAAGAATATACAATTTGTTCATCTATTCTTCTGTTAATGAACATTTGGGCTGTTTCCACATTGGGACTGGTCTGCATAAAAACACTGTAAATATTCTTGCACAGGTTTTTGTAGACCTATATTCTAATTTCTCTTGGGTGATTATCTGGAAGTGAAACTGCCATACAGTTTTCCAAAGTAATTGTACCATTTTATACTCCTACCAGCAATGTATGAGTTTCAGTTGGGAAGCACATATATTTAAATCAGGAATTTGAAAGATTTCAAGCAGTAAAACATATATTGGATTGAAATGGTAGGAACTGACGGTAAGGAATCTAATGCAAGAGTTCAAGCATGAGCCACTAATGGTCTACATTCAAGTTGTAGCAAAGCATGAGAAAAGAATGAAGTGTACTAGGATATATTGTAAGAAATCAAATTCTATAAAAATAGAGGAATCATGTTCAGCTCTGAATTTTCAAACTCAAGAGAAGCTTATTTGGGAAGATAAGTTGGTTTGAGATGTGTTGAAAGAGGTCAGTTTTGGCAGTTGATCTAAAGTCACTTGGCTAGAGGTGATAATCGAATCCAGAAGTATGAAAGTAGGATGTATAAAGAAAATGCCTAAGTGAGTGGTTAGGCAAGCAGAAAGACCAGAAAGACCTCTTGTAATGCTCAAGGCTTAGCCCTAATTCCTTGATAGGTACTTTCCCTTCAAAGTTTTCCAAACACTGAGGCACATTTTGCACGAGAGGACACCAATGGGGCCGGAAAGGTTGAGCAGGAATTTGCTGAAAGCCAAAGAGTACATGGCAGAGGTTTACTGTTTCATTTCCCCTTCATTTCATTGTGCAAATACTGTCTTCTTAGGTGCCTTACAATAGAGCCAAACATCCTCTCATCTGCTTAAAAAACTAATACAATAACCCTGAATCTGCAGGGCAGAGTTTAAGCTACTGAACTATTTGGGAAAGGTATTTATATAACCAAGTACTAACATAAAAATGTCTGTTTCACAGTTGTTTATGCAAATGAGGACCACAGTTGTTTATGCAAATGTGGTCCTACTGCCCTTGGCAGCACAAGGCTCTGGACCTTTTGTCTGTTCTGAGATTTCCAAAGAACCCGAACCTCTACCCATGCAAGCTCCAAAATAGCTCAGCAGTTTAAGCTCTGTAGTGGGAGCCACATTGCTTCCAAGCAGCAATATTTACCTTTCAACTGTCTTTCTGATGCCATTATTGTAGCACAAGGCCATGCCTGACATATGGTGGGAATCTCAGTCCCTGGGGTAAACTTTTGGGAAGCACTTCAGAGAAGGTACCTTTCAGATTAGCCTTCGCTAGTAACTGAAGAAAGTGACTGTGATGGCAGGTGGATAAAGGACTTGATTTTCCAAATCTCCATTCTACTGAATTACATGTACGACTGAAATCATGTCCCTTTTTTAAAAAAAAGATGTTTGAATTGCTTTTTAGAGAGAGAGGAAGGGAGTGGGAGAGAAACATTGACGTGAGAGCGAAACATTGCTCGGCTGCCTCCTACCGGGGATCCAGTCTGCAACTCGGGCATGTGCTCTGCACGGGACAAGCCCAACTGAGCAGCACCGGCCAGGGCATCATGTCCTCCCTTTAAGAACACATGCTTGTGCCTGAGCTACATTATGTAACTTCAGAAAACTAGGTTACTTATTGAACAATTTTACTTTTGCACTTTTCTCCCTTGAATGTATTTTATAGTCTGTTTTTTACCCTTCGAGTTGTATCTCCAGGTACAGAGTAATCTTGATTTCACTGTGGGTTTCTGATTTGGCCACTAGAGATCTCGATGACAAGCTACTTATGAGGCCTGGGTCCAGTACCATCTTTTCAACCCGAAATTGGTCAAATCGAGCCCTAGAGCTTTGTACATCATCTCTGTCATATACAGTGCAGTCCGCCAGGAGACGCAATCCCCCACCACGCACCCTTCATCCCATCAGCACAAGCCGCTCACAAGCTGGAACTCCAAGACCCACGGAAGAAATCTTCAGAGGATCCCGAGTGTAGGTTTCAAAAACAGAATTTCTGGAAACTAGTACAACTAATCAGGAACTTTACATACAGAATGAATTTAAATGTAATATTGAAATATATGTATAGAAACTATTATTATGTATTCTTATGATGATTGCACACTGGTTTAAATCTATCCACTACAGATTTAAAAATGAGCTTAAATATTAATTAAATACAGATACTGGGTCTGTTGATTTAGCTAGAGATTTCTATTTCTACAAATAAAATGTTGGCTAGAATACTTTGTGACACCAAAGAAATAAAAGATATATAATAATATAGATATATGTATATGTATTATTCAACATTTTCCTTAGTGGGAACATGTTCAGTGAAATTCATCCCAAAATAATAGTTAATTCTTCTTTAATGTTTTTCTGTGTCATTGGGTACTGCTTATTCCATTGACAACTAAAACTGCATAAACCTCAGAGAAGTAGTTGCTTATAGCTTATATTCCAGGAAAATATCCCTTAGTAATTCTTAGGAAATAATACTGAACATATTCTCTCCCCTTTTCCCACCCTTCATTCAGTGGACACTCTGAGTTGTACAAAAAATACGTATGAGCCAATTTCTAAAATAAAATTCTTTAGTTAATTCACAAAACATCTTAGGACAGCTTATTTCTAAGACTATGATAAAAGGTATGAAATAATAAGGCCATAACTCTGTTGTGAATTCAGCTTCTGAATTAAGTACATGTCACTATACTTATCTCCCAACATGTTATTTCTTGATTTTGATTTCTCAATTTCTCATTATAATTTATTCAAATAGACTCACTAAAAGATATGTCCAAAACCACCAAAAGTCTTTATCAGGACACCAGGGTTACACCTCACCTGACCACTATTTTATTATGTTGCTCAGGCTATATCTATACTGAGATAGCTATAGATTTATTTAGGGATGAGTGGTATTGATGTATAGTTAATCTCTCATCCCTTCTGACAATGCTTTTTTTCAAAGTGGAAAAAAGTTGCTTTGTTTTTTTCTGGGACAAGAAAGTATCATTCAGTTCCAATTACTGTTTTGGGTATGAGTAATAGAGCAAACTGTTCCAAATCCCATGGAAGAAAATGCAAGTTTAGGAGCTTTACAGAGGATTATAGTTATTAGTTAAAAGGATAATCAGAAAGCCCAAAACAGTGGAGAAATCCATCAGATGTGAAATTACAAATCCATTATTGATAGAGAACTGCAACACCAGATAGGAAAAGCTGTTTTGTTCTAGTTTTCTGTGAGAGAAAGATTCAACTTCTGCTCTGTGTCCAGGATAGTTTCAACAAAAATTATGAAATACTATGAAAAAAAACCAAAATCCTTTTATTGAGATCTCATTACTTAAAAACTTAGTTTAAAGCTTTGTGTGCTTCATGTTTCAATTTTTTCTTTATTCTGATCAGTTTTCTTGTATTGTTCTAACTTTATGCTTTCGTGTCCTGGTATTCACTGGTGGGATCTGCAGCCCAGTGATGGCCAATTACCTCTCTTCTCCCTCACCAATGCCCCTGAGTCGAAATAATCTGCTGCCACCTATTGGCACAGCTGAAGAGGAACACATGAGCACTGTGGGGACACAAAGGCAAACGGTATGTCTCTTTCCTATTACTTTTCCATGTGCTTCCTCATGGGTAATAAATAATTCAGTAGGATTTGTATTCTGATCTTAATTTATACTGTATTTTATCAAAAGTACATAATTAATTCTATTTAATGACAATGGAATTGGAGGTACTTGGCCTGCAGTTACCATACCCAGTAGGGTTGATATAGGACATGCACAATAAATGGTTTTAATTGTTTCTGTAATTTTGCCTCCTCCACAGAAAACCCATGGCGATTCTAATCGAGCTCGAAGTGCGGTAGTGAATGAGCCTAAACGTCAGCAGCCCCAGGAGAGGCTCCTTTTACCTGACTTTTTCTCCAGGCCCAATACAACTCAGTCATTTCTGGTAGTGACATGTTTCCTCTATGGTCTTGGTAGTTGGGGAAAGGAAGAAACTAGTTTGGCAGACTTAAGACATTACATAGTGGCTTCATCAACTCCAAACTAAAAGTTGAGGTTCTAACAATGAAAAGTGTTGTAAGTACATTTTGCTGAAATTCTAACTGGTCTTTGCAACTCACTTTTTTAACTTATAGAATAAGGTAAAATATAAATTAAACCTGAAATATCACTCTAGGCCAAAATGACAAACTGAAGCTATCCTATTTTTGGCACATTATGAGAAGTCAGGGTTTTTTGGAAAGGACAGTAATGCTGGGAAAAATAAAAGGCAGCTGGAATAGAGGAAAACCAGATATGAGATGAATTGACTCCGTAACAGAAACCACAGGCATAAGTCGACAGGAGCTGAGCAGGGCCGCTGAGGACAGAACACTGTGGACATCACTCATTCATAGAGTCACCAGGAGTCAGTGCCAACTCAGCAGCATGTAACACACACAAATGCCTGATGTATAAATTACAAATTCTAAACAAAATTAAAGTTAGATATTTCTGAGAATAAGCAAAAAAAATAAAAAAAAAAAAGTGTTAAACCCCAGTGCATATCAGATCAGCATAAATTCATTCTCTAACGCTGCTCTCATGGAATTACACCAATAGTGGTATCAGATGATGATGTGGACTGGTGGATGGGCTTTTAGTTGAGATGCTAACATTGCCTTACTACTTCGTACATTTCCTAGCCCTTTACCTTTAAGCAAGTAATAGAAAAAACTTGGTTGGGAGATTGGTCATGCACTGACCTTGCCCAGTTGTATGCCAGGAGCTCAGCCCACCTCCTCTGCTTTGTGACAAGAGGGCTTGTTGAGCCAGGAAAGTGCCTGGGGCCACACTTTCAGCCAGGAACCAGTGGCTGCACAACCTATACCAGTTTTCAGGATGGTGTTTAGCCCACTTATCCCAACTCACAACTCGGGAACTGTTAGAGCCTAAAACACCATACAATCTTTCCTCCACTAGAATGAGAATAAATGAATGGACGGACACTGTATTAATTTCCTAGGGCTGTCATAACAAATTATGACAAACTGGGTGGCTTAAGACAATAGAAATTTATTTTGTTCCAGAGCCTGAAAGTCTAAAATTAAGGTGTCGGCAGAGCCATGTTCCCTCTGCAGACTCTAGGGAAGAATCTCTTCTGGCTTCTGATGGCTGCCAGCAATCCTTGGTATTTCTTGGCCTGCAGATGCTTCTCCAATTCCTGCTGTCTTCACATAGCCTTCTTCCAAATTTCCCTCTTATAAAGATACCAGTCACTGAATTTAGGCTTGAAATTCAGTATGACCCCAATCCAGTATGACCTCAACTTAACTTGATTATATCTGTATAGATACTATTTCCAAGTAAAGTCACACTCATAAGTCCCAGGCAGATATAAACTTGGGGGGAACACTTCACCCCAATAGACCTCAGAAGGCTTGATTTTAGGGTGAGATTCATCTAAAACATGGGCAAAAGGGAACTCTGAGCGTTTCTAATTCTTACTAGATGTGAATCCTAAGAAGTTTGAAAACCTTTATTACATTTGTATTCTCATAATTTGATCCAGATCATTTGTTAAGCAGTGTTTAATGATTATATTCTATAGCTAGAGTCATATCAAATATTTAATTTTGGTTACCTTAGGAGTAAAGCTGAACACCTGAAAAAAATTCAGTTTCATTTTCATAGTTTATAATAATAAAAGTATAAATGTCTTACCATAGCCATTTCTCTCCCAATTTGCTCTCATGAAAAGGGATATGAGCTAGTAGCTCAGTGTAACTGAGAGCACTAGATGAGAGGCCTGGCCAGGCACTGCCAGACCAGCACTGTTCTCACCTAGAATGGGAGTCCATAAGCTCCGTTCATGAGCCATCTGACTTACTACCTGCTTTTGTTTTGTTTTATTAGGTTTTACGAGGGCAGAGCCACCACGCTCATTCGCGTACTGTCTCTGGCTGCTTTCCAGTACAAATGCAGAGCTGAGTAGGTCCAACAGCAGCAGTGTGTGCCTCAAAGTCTAGAACATTTACAATCTGGCCCTCTACAAACACGAAGTTTGCGCTGACACCTGATCAAAAACATGGGGCTTCACCAGAAAAAAATTCCTGAAATTTCTTGATTTTAGTGCTCTGACATGGAACTGAGGGAGGTTTTTTTTATCCCAGAAGTGCCAGCGAGATGGCTGGATAGCTTTTTTCGTTATTTTGCATTTTAATATTTTAGTCAGAGCTTAAAATCTTTAAATCCCTTGTGGTAACTTTGTAATGTTTGAGATTCATATCGAGAGTCCCATTTCAAGTATACAAGTCATCGATATTTCAGTGCTACTGAAAGGCTCTGTTCTGTTGTCTTAAACAGTCAGCAGGCAATAGAAATTGGATGACATTCCCTAGGCAGCCAATTATATTTAGAAACATTAAACCACATGGGTTATTTATCAATGCTAAGATTTTTTAAAGGCATATTAATAAAATTATAGAACTTGCCATTTTTACAAGTTAACAAATGGCTTTATGGGCTTCTGGCTTGGGATTATTTTCCTTGGAATATAACAGAATGCACTCAGCCAACCTATCTATAGGATTAGCAGATAATGCCATTTAAATTGTTGTCTGATTTCAAGGTTTTCCCTTGTAAATCTACTAACATACTATCCTTTGGGAGACATAGCATTGAAAAAAGTGTCTCCACTTTTTTTTTTCAGCCGGACACGCAGTATCGTCATTCATGTGCTGTTGAGTATCCTCATCAGGCCCGACCTGGTAGGGGATATGGAGCGACAGGTGAGGCCATGACTTATTTGACTACTATGCGGCTATGTTAAGACCCTGCCTTTCTTTGTCCTATATATTTTTTCCTATGCTTATTTTCCTTTCCTCCGGGTTTTATTATATTTTGTTTTCCTACATTTTCTAAGTTACCTCAAATTCATTTTGGAAGATGGGGTATAATAAAGAGAAGAGCGCTATAGTTCAGAGCCAAAAAATTCTGGATTTTGGTTTTCTCATATGTAAATCAACCTGAGACTCACCACTCTGGCAAAGTATATAGAACTTTTTTTTTAAAATATATTTTATTGATTTTTTTTTTACAGAGAAGAAGGGAGAGAGATAGAGAGTTAGAAACATCAATGAGAGAGAAACATCGATCAGCTGCCTCCTGCACATCTCCTACTGGGGATGTGCCCACAACCCAGGTACATGCCCTTGACCGGAATCGAACCTGGGACCCTTCAGTCCACAGGCCGATGCTCTATCCACTGAGCCAAACTGGTTTCAGCTATAGAACTCTTTTAAATCTAAAAGTAATTCAGCCAAATAAATCACTTTCCTAACATTTAAACACTACATTATGTAGGCAAAATTCATATTGCTATAGATTAAATGCTTTGGTCAGTTATCCTGCTAGGCAAGGTAAGACAAAAGAAATTCTAAAATGTCAAGATATGCTTCTGAGTCTGAGTCTTTCCCATTTACTTTTTGGTTTCTAAGTTATATTCTATGCTTCTATTTTTGCATAAGTGGTGGGAGAAAATTTAAGAATGTCTTAATTCTTCCTAAAATGGTCTTACCACCACCAGGTCATTCTCATTTTGTAGGTGAAACTTAGAAATGGGGTAGCTGATGTTTGCTGTTAATAAGATTAATCAGCTCGTATATTAAAAAATAACCTGCCTCCAACGATCTCTGTAGTCCAAGTGAATTCTCCTAGTTCAGTTTCTAGTGGCAGTGAGGTAGTCTTTGAATACTTTCAATGGATTATTTTATTGGATCAGTCATCATAGAGAAGCAATCCTGCCTCTGAGCTAAGTTATTACATTCAGCCATGCTGATGGTCAGATGTAACTAGTGTAACATTTACTTAAGTGAAACACATTTTAGTCTTTTTCAATTAGTGGACTCCTCTCTAAAACTGTTACTGCTTTTATATCTTAGTATGGATTTTTGTTTTTTCATAAAATATGCAAGGTTTTTATTGCCTTGGTAAATATATACTTTACTACTTGTTCCCAGTCTCCAAATTTAAATCCCAGCTGATTATTGGAGCAACAAAGCCCTTAGGTATGAATTTGAGTTTACCAAATCTACACTGTCTACTAATGTTACTCTGTGATGTCCTTTGTCTGACAGGTTCTCAATCACATGGGTCTACAAAAACTCAAAACAGAAGTGGACCAGTCTCTAGAACCAGGCAGGGACCTTAGAGCAAATGAGAACCTCTTTCAGGCTACAGGGAACATGTGGGAAGACTTCATAAATCAGTGTTCACTCATCGTGTGATGCAGTTTGTTTACAAGAGACAACTTGAAGCTATCTTCATGAAGAGTTATTTTGGTAAAACTGACTGAGAAAACAAAGCATCTGCCAAAGATTATATGGGTACTATTTCTATCCCCAGTTACTGTCTTCTTTCAGCATTAACTATTCCACTAGACAGTAAAGTTTTGTACCCAAAAAGAATTAACTACTCCCAAATCACTGCTCATGTTGTCTGTTAACAATGAACAGTTCAATTATTATAGGATTCTCTGAAAGTACACATACACAGAAAACAGCAAATGATTAATAACATTAAGCTGTCACTGGCATTGGAATACTGCTTATATTAATTTCTGGAGTTGTACTCAGTTTTGAATCATTTTCAGGAGACAGGACTGACAAAAATTTGAGCTACTCATCAAACAGATGTCATTCCTAAAGCTTTCTCTTTGCATGTCCAATCCCATAAGCAGAAAGATATGGAAGGGTTAATTAAAAACAAAAATGTTGAACACTAGTGTAAAGTAGCATATGTAATAAATCGTAATGCATATTACTTTTTTCAGATAGGACAGCTCAACCTCACAATGCCTGCTTAATATCAGGTTACGCTTCTTTCTTAAAGTAATTTAGTGGTCACATTTTTTTTCCAAATATTAAACTCAACTTGCCAGATTTTCTCCTGTAGCTCTAAAAGTCAATTAAAAAATTTATAGAATCTTTCTGTTAGTGAGCCAGCAAGATACAATTCCCTAAAATTTCAGACACCTGGCGATTATTCCAGTATCAACATATCCTAAGAGCAGAAGTAGAGAACTTCGGCATTCTTCTCATTTTACCATGGACCTTTTCCTGAGTGTACTCATGAATGCAGCAATGGTTTTAACTATGGCTTAAATTTATTTTTTTAAAATTTCATTGAACTTTAGTTTTGATGATCATACCGTTTTTTTTAAATCTTATTGTTAATCTTCAGAGGGATAAATTCAAGTGATCATAAATTGGGGTAATTTTTTTTATATCAAAGTGTTCTAATGCTATTATATGAAGAAAGATGCTTCAAACAATCTGCATTAAATTATATTTTAATACAATTAAAGAGTATTTTTTTAACCTTGTTTATAATCACAAACTGAAAGCATGTCATGTGTTTATATCGCTGATAAATCATGATACATAAAGGTACCAGGCTTGTTTCGGGCATATGGCATTGAATATAATTAGTCTAAAATCAGAGATTTTAAGTTGAACAGTCCCTTAAAAACTTCCACATATCCTAATGAATACATACAATTTGACTAAGTATAAGTGAAAATCTCTGTACTATTTTCACAAATCAATACCACAAGCGCATGAAAACCAACCACTGATGGCTTGCCTTTCGGAGTTAGCGTTAAGTCAGGGGAGTCTCTAAGAAGTCGTTTACCCAAACTCCCTCACCCTTTCATAGATGAGAAAACAAGTTCAGACAAGCTTAGTGACCTACCCAAGGACGTTCAGCAGTAATATCCCAGTGATCATTAAAAATTTAAGTCATTTTTTACTTGTTTAGTTTAATCATGTATTAAGTCATAAAGATGCTTGAAGTAATGTGAACATCTGTTTCTCCTATACTTGAAGCAGAGTACAAAAACCTGTTTGAGTAAAAAAACAAAAACAAAAAGAGAGGATGTATTCAAGAGTTTTAAGACTGAAAGCACTGTCAAGTATTTAGAAGACAATGTCCAGCAAGTGTTCTGAGGACATTCTAGCCAGGTAGCGTACTTGTTCTAATAAACACACACATCGCTCTGAATACTCTGCAGCTCATTCTTGTGGCAAAATGACAGCTGGTAACGGAAGTATGGACAGATCCACATTCTAGGTAAAGTTCCTTGTACAAAAGATCCACAGAAGCAAGTGCTGTCAGAAGTATACCAACCTCCCCCTCTTTCCTCAATGACCATCACCAAATTCCTTCACAGGAGGACTAAAATTCACAGAATGTCAGGGGATTTCTAGGATAGAAGATCAGGTTGAGAGACTGGTTTACATTCTCAATCTGAATAGTTTAGGTGGAAGAGAATTTTTCTCAAGGGTTGAATTGACTTTTGTCTTCAGATCTTGACTTTACCTTTCCTACAATGGCACTAATTAACCCCTAACGACCTTTGAAGAGAAAATTCCATTATTTCTTTTCTTTCTTGAGAGCTGTTTTTTTCCCTCCTCCTTTGGAAGGTTTGCAGTACTTTGCTTCCATCTGAGCCAGAAAATTGTCCATTTCCTTTTGCCGATCCTTTTGTCTGTTCTGTTTGAGAGTTAAAACACAAGCTTTCAAAACACAAGACTATTGAAAGAGACAGAAGTACATAGTGGTGGGAAGGAAGAATGGGGAGTGACTGACTGCTAATGGGTAAAGAGATTCTTTTTAGGGTGATGAAATGTTCTGGAATTAGTGCTGATGGTTGTACAACTTGATGAATATATTAAAAACCATTGAGTTGTACACTTCAAAAAGGTGAATATGATATATGAATTAGGTCTTAAAAGAAAAAAAAAAACATTACACATATACTCCAAAATAGCTGTAGGAATCAGAACAAGAACATAAAGAAATGGCAATGGCAGCAAACCTTCACAGACAGCTGCCAAGTTTACCTGAATGAGTGCTTTCAAATTATCTTCATCAAGTCCTAACTCCTTCCTGCTCATTTCTGCTTCTTTAGCCTCTTCCTGGGCCTAAAACAGATATTCACATGTGACTCCATGGCATCCTAAAAATATACCCTTTGCCAAAAGCAAATTTATAAGACCCTTTCAATTTGAGGATTATTTAGAATAAAATTACATTAACACGGCATTCATTAAAAGGCAAAATTGCTGACAGCAAGCGGTATATCCTCTGATTCCAGTAAGCATTTCTGAGTTTTCCCCATTTCAATTTGTTAGGGGTAGCAAGTAGTTTGGTATTAACATGTTAAGCGCCCATCCTGTTTTGTCTTCCGGACAGAAAGTATAGTGTCAGTCACCAGTGACTGACTGGGCGCTTAACATGTTAATAACCATGTGATGATAGGAAGGAAAACAAAATGCATGGAGAGCTTAACCAAGGATGTCCTCAAAAATACTGCCAGGATAAAGGCACCTCAGATTCTTCCTCTGGAAACCCAATTTACTACATGTGACTGGTGGCAGCTTTGAAAGCAACCCTAGTTTAAAATTTCCCAAGTAGTCAGAATAAACGTTAACAAATTCAGTTTTAACTTTTCTTTACCTGATTTCAAAGCCACTTTTTTTGACCAAAATTTACTAGGGCACTGATTCCAAAATACCACTACAGTACCTTGGTAAAGGTTAATAAGTTGTTTTTTCCTTCAGGGCAACAGCTAAAACTATTAAGAGGTCCCAACCCCCGTGAATTTTCTAAATAGTAATAAATACTATTAATAGTGGGAATGATGATACATTAGGACCTTGTTATTCCAATAAAGAGACACAGTTTCCACTATCTACTTTCAGTCTTGATCCAATTTCTTTTGATATTGTACCCCCTTCCCAAGTTCGTTTGCTGGAATCGCTCTCAAAACTGCCAACCCCTCCTCACAATACTCTAGAGAAGTTTCTCAAGCTAATATCCTACTACTAGATACTGCTGTGCTAAGTTTCACCTGAGAAAATAATCACCAACTTGAACTGCTTGAGTCTAAATAAAGGTACCCTATGAGTCAAAACGATAGCTCTTGATACACATTCCACTTCTCAACATACTTCAGCTTTCCTTTGTGTCATCTTGTATCTAAAAGCTGCAGACCTACGTTCACCCCGAATCCAGCCACACAAACTAAGGGCAGTGTCTGCCTCTTACACTGTATACTCTCCATGGAGTTCCCATTATGAAGGCCAGGTCGAAGCAATGGTTACTTAGGTACCAGTCTGGCTTTTCCCCAGACCAGAGGCACAGATGTTTGCAACTTTGAATGACTCCCTCCCAGAACCCCAGCTGTCCTTGAGTTCCTTTCCCCTACCACCATCCCTACCTCCACCAACTCTAGTTTCATATGGGTGTAAAGGACATACAGGTCTCAATCCCTGATTCTCCAAAAAGTGTTCTTCAAAGTAAATTTGGAATTTAAAAAGTAAACGCAATAGTTTTTTAACATGTATATTCAGGACCCAAATCAAAAATCAACCTGGGCAAGAGCAAAGGAATCTGTATTAAGCAGACACAGTATTATCTTTTTAAGAGTCTGTTGTCCTCTCCCTCACCCCTTAACTGAGAACCACTGTGTAAGCCTAGGTATCTGAACCCCACTACTGAGAAATGCCTCAGCAAAGGTACAAGAATCGGCCCATATGACAAATATTTCAAGATGATATTATTTAAATAATCAGTAGTAAAATCCTCTGAAGCACAACATACCAGGGAAAACAAGTTTCCCCGATGAACTGATATGCTCATTTTATTAGATGAGAACTACATAGCAAGTTAGTCCTTATCCTTATTTCACAGTTTTGTCTATATTTCAATTACTGTCAATATTCTCAAACTCTTTTTGGAAGCAGTCAATATATAAATAATAAATAGCATTCAAAGTCTTACCCTCCTTTTCCTAGCATTCATCTTTTGCTTCGATTCTTTGACAAAGGCCTTATAGGATGGGACTTCTCCAGCGTCAATGGCTTGCTGAATAAGGTTCCTTATCCTGGGTTCGTCCGTGTACTGCACGCACAGCACCGACTCCATGATCTGACCCATGTCCCCTTTGAAGTCCAGATAGGCCTGTTTAATATCAGCCAGCTCTTCTTCAGAACCTTTGTATGTCTTTTCAAAAGCTTGAATGTCTTCTAGAGATATCTAAAAAAATAAGAAACATATGCTTTAACTTTATTTTAAAAGGTATTCTAGGAAAGCTAAATTTAGGTGTTGAAATGTTTCTCCCAAAATACAACAGTTGCTTGAGCTGAAACTGGGTGTAAAGGACATACAGGTCTCAATCCCTGATTCTCCAAAAAGCGTTCCAAAAATTTTCTCAGCCGAAGCTTTTCCATAGTTTTCCCTACTCCGACCTTCACAACTACTGAATTACGGACCAGGAAATTTTAAGTGAAGTTTCCAGGGGTGGGAAGGGATCCAGAGGCACACTCAGGACTGACATTTGGATACGTAAAACAAGGCACATCTTGTCAAAACTTAAGCACCCCCCTTTCTACTACAAGCAAGCACTCTCCATCAACAGGCAACGCAAGGCCCATCTCAGTAAGAGGGCATGTGTACATGTACATAGAAAAACACCCGGGGCTCACCCAGCGGCCAAATACATTTGTTCTTCAGCAAAGACGCCCAGCACAGTATGCACCTCCTGGGGATGCCTGTGTGTGTGTATTTCAAGGCCAAATTCCCCTTCCTTCACACACAATTCAATGCCTCAGAGGCATTCAATAAGCATTTGTTGAGTAAATAATAGGAATGAATCGTCGCGAAAGTCTCCAGAGTCTTCTACCTTTTCCTTTTGTTTCTACCTTTTTAAAGAGTAACCTCCAATACGTCTCCCAGTCCCGATCCTGGCTGAGCACATCCGAGTCCTCGTCCACGGTCCCCTGCTCGTCGTACACGGCCCTCTGCTCCTTGTCACTCAGGACGGAGTAGACTTTCCCGAGGATCTGCGAGGAAAGAGCATTCAAGTCACCCTCGCCCCTTCACTGCTGCCGGCGAGAAACAGTAGAAACGCCAGGCCGGGCTCCGGGCATTTCCCGGGAGGGGCCGGCCGGCCATTAGACCGCAGCACAGACGCCCGGGGCCGGCGGGGCAGGGGCTCGCGCACCTGGAAGCGGCGGGTGGCACCCTCCTTGTCGTCCTCGCCCACCCGGTCCGGGTGCACCTGCAGGGACACCTTGTGGTAGCCGCGTCGGACCTCGCCGTCCGAGGCCTCGCGCCGCACCCCCAGCACCCGGTAAAGGTCGGCGGTACCGAACACCTGCTCGCACTGCTCCAGCAGCCCCATGGCCGGCAGAGGCGCGGGGCCAGCGGCGGACTCCGCGAAAACAGTGGGTTCCAGCAGCCCCGGCTAGTTCCGAACTGCTGCCTTTTCCCGCGCAAAAAGCCCAGGGCGCCTGCGTCACAAGAGCCGCAAGAAAGGGCGTGGTCACGACACCGCACTTTACGGCTGCTGTAAAATGGGGCGTGGAAAGCCCAGCGTCAACGTGCCGAGGGGCGTAGTAGAGCAGGCGTAAGCGGAAGTAGCGCGCGAGCCGCCACGCCCTCTCCCCAGCGACACCACTCCCCTCACTCTAGACACCTGGCACTTCATCGCAGAATCTTTTCCTTTCTTTCTTTAAAATATATTTTATTGGGTTTTTTTTACAGAGAGGAAGGGAGAGGGATACAGAGTTAGAAACATCGATGAGAGAGAAACATCGATCAGCTGCCTCCTGCCCACCCCCCACTGGGAATGTGCCCGCAACCAAGGTACATGCCCTTGACCGGAATCGAACCTGGGACCTTCAGTTCGCAGGCCGACGCTCTATCCACTGAGCCAAACCTGTCAGGGCGAGGAATCTTTTCCAATACGTGAAAGTCCGTATTAGGTTGAACCTATATGCTGTTTGTTTTTTAGCAAAAAAAAACAGCACAGCATCGGCATTTGGGCAATTTCACATGGTTCATACACATGTATTTTTTCGAAGACAGTAATTTTTTCAAAGACGGTACTGACAGTACATAGAGCTCTAAGGCCCAAATAATCGTGTAGCCTACAGAGTAGGTACTTCCCTAGAGGCCTGCAAGAAAAAGTCTACTTTAAACAAAAGGCACAAAAGACCTCTTTAAAAAATTCTTTATCTGACAGGACTTACAGAATCATTCCCACTCACCCTCCAGCTCCTGAATCACCTTCCACTTTGGTGGAGATAACATGACCCAAACCCTCATCATAATAAAAATACAAGCTGCTGAAGCAAAGGTGGGTTTTTTTGTTTTTTAATGCTTTCTAAAGTGCAGAGATGAGCCCTGACTGGTTTGGCTCAGTGGATAGAGCGTTGGCCTGCGGACTCAAGGGTCCCAGGTTCGATTCCGGTCAAGGGCATGTACCTTGGTTGCGGGCACATACCCAGTGGAGAGTGTGCAGGAGGCAGGTGATCGATGTTTCTCTCTCATCGGTGTTTCTAACTCTCTATCCCTCTCCCTTTCTCTCTGTAAAAAGTCAATAAGATATATTTTAAAAAATAAATAGATACAGAAGCAGAGCTGCCTCAAACAGACTGTCAAACTACAGCGGGAAAGCCGGGGAGGGTTGAGGGGCGGGGGTAAGAGATCAACCGAAGGACTTGTATGCATGCATATAAGCATAACCAATGGACATAAGACACTGGGGGGTAGGGGAGGCCGGGGGATTGTTAAGGGCGGGGGAAAAAAGGAGACATATGTAATACTCTTTGTAATACTTTAAGCAATAAAACAATTTTAAAAACTGCTTAAAAATAACCTACAAAAAAATAAAATAAAGTGCAGAGATGAATTTTGAGTATTTTAGATTTGAAGGTGGTATAAAGATAGGCTGAGGCAGTCATCCAGACATGGTGAGAAATAGGGGCCTGGAGATCCAAAGCAAGGCTAGGGCTAGAGAAAACTGGAAATCAGGGAGCAGATATGCTCCCACAGGAAATATGGGTATAGATCTTAGACAAAGGACAGACAAGGGCACAAAGTGGACACATGAGGTGACAGAAACTCAGTAGCTACTAGTAAAAATAAATACCTTAACCCATTTCACAGTAGTTCCCCTCACTGATGAATACTTTTCAAAATCACATTCTCTTCTGCACTATTAATTAAAGCTTCTCCCACCAAACTCTCCAGGGTATCTTTTAAACTTCCAGAGTTCCTATCATTTTCAAATCATTTCTTTCCCATGTCCAAGATCAAACCCAGGGACAGTCAATTCCTCTCTGTTTGCCCTGCCTTCCACATATCCTCCTCAAAGCAAGTGGAGGCCAACCAGTAACAATCCTGGGGAGACTGATAACCCCACGTGAGGTGGCTGTTAGTTGTTCTCAGAATATAAAATCCAGAGGATAATGTTAGTTGGTATATTCTTAGGGCTTAAGAATCTCCTCTATAAATCTCCTACATCCTAGTCTTGTGCCAAAATTTGAAATCTTCATTATCTAGCATGTGCACTAAAATCATCTAATCCATGCTTGTGGCTGAAGAATCCCGAGGTTAATTAGGGTGGAGCAGATAAAGTAATATTTTGTGGGGGTTTTTTGGCACATGATTTCTAAGCCTGATTCTATCACTGACTTTTTAAGTGGACATTTGAAAAGTCCCTCATCCTTGCTTATTCCCCCACCCCATCCCACTACAAACAGTATGTACTGGAAAGGGCTCCCCAAGTAGGCAGACAGCAGTCTAAATCTTAGCTCTGCCAAGATTAAACTGGGGCCATGGACACGTTGGTTGGGGACTTTGAAACGGAAGTTTTGGAAGGCAGCAGACTGTAGAGCTGTCCAACCCAAAAGCCCAACCCACTCCACAGCCACTGTGTTTTCCCCAGCGAAGGCTGAGAAAGTGAATTAGTAGCCCTGTGTCACACAAGAACAAACCTCTCCCTGGACCCCGCTCAGGCCAGGCCAGAACATGGATGACATGGAAAACGCCATTTATTGACCTCTAAATCTAATAAGAACTCTGCACAAGTGTCTGAGGAGGACTTTGACCTTGTTCTTGCTGCTGTGCTCACTGACGTCAGCTTGCTTCTGTTTCCGTAGCCTCTGTCTCTGTTTTCTGAGATGCTAAGAGGATTTCACGCGCCCGTTTCCGCCGAAGCCTCTCAGCATTTGTGATCACCATGGGATGCAGAGGGAAAAAACCAGCAAGGCCTAAAAACAACAGGGTTCGCATTCATTACCACACAGTACAAGCCCATGTTTCCCTAGCAATGCAGCCTCACAGGATTTCGGTCTAACAGCGACCTGACCTAGAGCATGGATTTCAAACATGCTCCTCACTTCTTCCACCTACTCCTGACTGCAAGGAGACAATCGGTGTTATCTCCTTCCTAACACTATTGTCCTTACCTAAGAAAGATAAACTGACAGCCCTTCAAGACACACAGTTCCCACTTTTAGAATAAAATCTCAGCTTCATAAAGGAGTCCACGGAAGTCACCAGATTCAAAATGGCAATGCGATCACAAGCCCCGAGCAGCCCAAAGGTAATGGGAATCATTCTGAATTCTCATCACCCTGTAATCGACTTCAATTTAAAATCTCTCGGTTGGGCTAGAGCCACGTTACCCAGAAGCTTTTCCACGGGTTGGGAGAGGTGGGCCCCGCAGCCGATCCAATGCCGGATCCGCTCCAGGTTGAGCGCCACGAGCTTCTCTCCGTGGGTGTTGGGCAGCGGGTCGTAGGAGCCCAGCTGCTCCACGAAGCGGCCGTCCCTGGGGAACTTGTTGTGCGCAGCCACGATGCGGTAGAAAGGCCGGTTGGTACAGCCGCCCAGGGCGAGACGGATGGTCAGGCGGCCTCCATGGTAGGCCTTGTGGAGGGGAGCAGCTGTGGAGAAGCAAGTGGTCAAGGCACAAAATGGGCAAAACCAGGTACAGGAGACAATCCTCTTCCTCCAGTGAAAACCCTCACTTCTACTCAACTCGGGGCCACCTGGCTTAGAAAACACCTTCTTTGTGAAACCTTCCCATGCACTCCGGCCAGAGACCACGTCCTCCTCCACCCCCGCCCGCCCAGCACAGCCTGCCTGCCACCGACTGGCTCCGTGACAGGTCGGGCCGCAGCTGCCGCATCTGTAAGATGCTACTATGTCACACGGTGTCAGGGGGATTCAAGGAGAAAATCGGGCGGGGTGTGTGTGTGTGTGTGGGGGGGGACCCCAACGTAAGGCCCTGAGGCTATTCCCGGCCCGGATGGCCTCCAGCTCGTCTAGGACGGCGCCGCTGCACCGGGTCCTGCCCGCCCCGCGGCGCCCGCGCCCGCCGGCAAGCCTCCCGGGGCCCGCCACTCACTGAACTGGACCATGGTGCGGCCCGCAAGGGCCCCGTTACCGCCTCTGGCGGGGCGGAGGACGGACGGGCAGGGCCGAGGCTGCGAAACCGCGGGCCCCGGCACCCGGAGCGAAGCCCGTGGGTCTCGGGGCGGAAGTGAACGGTCCACTAGCCCAGCCCTTTCCGCCCCCACAGTTCCCATAATGCAACACGGTGGACTCTGCGTCCGCAATCCACCGGCTGCGGGGATGGCCGTGCTGACACGAGTCCTCGGGGGGCGAGGAGGCGAGGAGGCGAGGAGGCGAGGAGGCGAGGAGGAGCCGGGAGCGGCCGAGGCAGTCGCCACAAGGCCGGCCAGTCCCTCCTGCGGCCGGCGTTCCGGGGGCACCTGCTCGCGCCCAGGCGCAGCCCGGAAACGCGGAGATGAAAGGGCGCTGGAAGTCCCGGCCTGGTGGGGCACGGTGGGGGACACCGGACTAGAAAAGGACTCTACATGAGCGCACAGTTTACCCTTCTGTGTTTACTGATAGGCCTCTCACCTTCCCTCCTATTCTCTGAACCTTCTCCAAAAAATAAAGGGGGGGGGGCTTTTTCCTGGTTTTGCTGTGCAGTGAGTGGTCCAGAACAGGGGGTGCAGTGTGCTTCCTGGTCATCTTTAGCCCGAGAATAATTACCTCCTTTGTGAGGTTTGCCTCTATGAGAAGGTGGTTAGAGGGAGTTGTTAGGTTAGGTGGCTCAGGAGGCGGCGCAAGAAATAGAGTCCAGTGAATCAGAAAAGAAAGGAAAGGAAAGTTTATTCTGCGTCCCCGGGAGACCCACGTACCCCCAAAGACAGGGCACGTGGATTCACGCCAACATGGAGGGGGGCGCTGTTTTTATACTGCGGTTGGGTGAGGGGCGGGGACATGAGCTGAGGTATTCAGTTGAGGAGGCTTCAGCTGCAGGGGGGTCAGCAAGGTATTCAGGGAGAAGGAGCCATCTGTGTCTGGCACGTTGACCTGTGAGAAATCCCAGATCTGTGAGAAATTCCAGGGGGAGTCCATTGTCTCATCCCATGTCTGCATGTATCTGATCCTGGGCTCTCTCCGACCTAACAGGAGTGAGTGCCTCCGCCTTCAGCAAAGACCTATTTAGAGTCTCTGTTCACCGTTGGATCCAAAGGTCCTGCCCACAACTAATAATCTTGCCCTAATACAGCGACCCGAATAGCTTCCTCCCTTTAGTTCCACCTTAGAAACCGGTGCCTTAATTCCCAAGTTCCACTAGGTACACCTGGCCAGGGACCTTAGCAGTTGACTTCCTTCAAGAGTTATCCTGATTAGCTTTCATCAGAAACCCTAATAACGAACCCATTATGCCTTAATTACATATAATTATATTCTTATATATACTCCAGTATGCCTTAAATCCAGAATCACACTGATGAATTTTGAATCTCTTATTTTCGTTTTTTATTGTCATCCAGTTGACTGTCAACAAGTAAGACCAACCAGTAGCATTTGATAACCCAGTAAGATAGCCGTGGAAATAAATGAATGGGTTTCTGTTTGTGGCAGAGATTCTCTTGTTTTTATTCCCAGGTTTCATATAGTAAAGCATCCAGGATTTAATTTCTCTGGGAAGGAAAAAGCTCACAGTCCCATACAGAAAATTCTTCAGCTGGAAGGAGTCAGAAAGATGGATTTCCAAAGCCAACAGTCTCCTGTAACATGTGGATCTCTGCAATCAGAGTCTCATCTTTCAATTTTAGCTGTAATGGAGGAAGGAAGGGAACACATGTCATATCTGATATACCTATGTGGAGACCCCTAATTTCTTTTCTCTCTCTCTCTTTTTTTTAATATATTGGTTTTTTTACAGAGAGGAAGAGAGAGAGATAGAGAGAAACATCAATGAGAAACATCGATCAGCTGCCTCCTGCACACCCCCTACCGGGGATGTGCCCGCAACCAAGGTACATGCCCTTGACTGGAATCAAACCTGAGACCCTTCAGTCCGCAGGCCGAGGTTCTATCCACTGAGCCAAACCCGTTAGGGCGAGACCCCTAATTTCTAGGGCCATAGCTAAAGAACACAGTTCCTTTGGATGGAATTTGGCTATATTTCCCTATTTCATGGTAATTCCATTAAAAGACCTCAGAATTGTGCTGGTTACATGGATATTTTCACTCTATGAAGATTCATCAAGTGGTATGAACATTCACAGTTTGCATTCTTTGTAAAAGAACTTTAATAAAGTTTATTTTGAAAAGGTTCACATCACCCAATATACCTTGACTAATATATACTATTCCTATTTGGTAAGTGACAGAAAGGAAACAAAGACATAGATCTGAATTTAATTTTAGAATCTAGATGTGTAGTAGAGACATCTAGTTGCCTACCCACTATCTCCTTTCTTTACTAAAAAAGTCTTCATTACTTTTCAGGGTAGCAATGCAGCCAGCTAAAAAGCTACATTTCCTGCTTCCCTTGCAAGGGAAGTGTTTATGACCAAATTGGCCACTGAAATTCGAGTTGAAATCATTGCTCATTAAAAGGAGGTGAAATAACTAGCATGACACCTTTGTCCTTTCCTTCCATTTGGTTTTTTATTGTGCCTGAAACATGGATATAGTGGCTGGAGCTATGTTGGCTGTTTTTCCACTCTGAGGGATGGGAACTGTATGCTATGGTTGCTGGAGCAGAAAGGTAGAAAGAGGGTGGGTCTCTGATGGGAGCTGTGGAGCTGTGGTACCAGTTCTGAACTCTACATTAGATGAGAAAAATAAAACTCCTAATTTGTTTAAGTCTTTCAAGTGGCTTATAATTCATAAGTGATGGGAGTTGGCAGACCACTGCTCATGAGCCAAATCTAGCACTCTTTCTGTTTTTGTAAATAAAGTTTTATTTGAGCCCTAGCCAGTTTGGCTCAGTGGAGAGAGTGTCAGCCTGCCGACTGAAGGGTACCTGGTTGGATTCTGGTCAAGGGCACATGCCCAGGTTGTGGGCTCAATCCCCAGTAGGGGGCGTGCAGGAGGCAGCTGGTCAGTGATTCTCTCTCATCATTGATGTTTCTATCCCTTTCTCCCTCTCCCTTCCTCTCTGAAATCAATACAATTTTTAAAAGTTTTATTTGAAACACACCCATGTTCATTTGTTTATGAATTATTTATGGCTGCTTTTTCACTACAAGTCAGAGTGTAGTAGTTTCAATAGAGACTGTTTGGCCCACAAAGCCTAAAATATTTCCTATTTTGCCATTTACAGGGAAAATTTGTTGACTCCTAGCTAGACCAATACCTTCATTTTACACATGAGGAAATGAGGCCCAGAGAGTTTAACACAGTTTGTTAATGGCAAAACTAGAACCATAATTCAGGTCTACTGACTCCCTGGCCATCTGTCTTTCCATTAACCCATATTCTCTAAAAAAAAAAGATCCCCCATGGGGCACTCTTCCTCCAGGGAGCATGCCCATGCCATCCCCTTCCTCCCTCCTTCCCCCATAGGCATGTATCTCCTAAACTTCAAGGGACCACGGGAGACTTGCAACCAGGGGAGCAATGAGCAGCAGCAGCCTGTCCTGGGCTAACTCCCCGAACCTGTCTCCAAGGCCCCCTTTTCTCTGACTTCCCAGTGAGCCAAGGCAGCCCAGCATAGGCCCTCTGGTTGCTTCTTCTATGCCCTTCTTTGTTTCACTATTCTAAGTGTGTTTTTGCTGCAGTCCATAAATTCTTACTTGCTTTACTATCAAGAAGAAAAAAAAGAGACCCCACCCCCATGTAATATGTGGGTTATTCCTACAAACCCAGAAGCCCTATGATGATGGGAAAGATGGTAAGAAAAGCTTCTAGAAAAATATTCACATCAAAAAAGGCTAAAAAGTTCTGAGTTAAACTAGTACCTTCCTCTCAGTTTCTTAACCTCAGTACAGTGCAGACAAACAGCAGAGGCATCTGCGTATCATACCTTCATCGTGTACTTGTAGGCTTGCTCAGCTTCCAGTTGCCGTCCAGCCTGAAAAAAAGAGGAGCAGCTGGTGACAATGATATCCCAAAACGTGATGATGGCAAAGTCCATTACCAAAAACGTCTACTTGAAGCAGAGGAGTCCATACCTTCTTAGTTAGGAAACTGAATTCACAGGTGAAGCAGGAAAATGAAAGGTGGTAGGAAAAAGCACATATAAGATATGCATCCCTTTTTTTATTTCAAAATCTTAAAGATAACTTGGCCTTTCATTTTTTTTTTTTCTGAAAGCACCATGAGTCATTTGTTCCTCTCATGATTGAAGCCATTCAGTGAATAAGAACTAACACATATAGTGTTTACTTTGTGGTTTAAATTGTTTACATTGTTTTAAGTGCTTTACATACTTTCATCTTGATCCTCAAAACAACCCTAGGAGATAACTATTCATAATTCCCAGTTTACAGATAGAAAAATCTGGGCACAGAGAGGATAAATAACTTGCAGATTATGAAGCTAATAAGTGGAGGAGCCAGATTTTAAGATAATTAGTCTGGCACCAGAGTCTAAGTTTTTAACTTTATCTTGTCTCTGCATTAGAAAAAGCAGATACTGGAATTACTTCCATGCAGATCTGGGTATGAGATGAGAACACTACTCCCAGTTATTCTTACATGAAGGAATTAAATGAGAATAATATGAATTCACTATTATACTTCACAAGTTTGTGCATAACAAATTAGAGTATGGAAAGTCACTTGGGAAAGCTTAAATACATAAATATGAATGCTCAGGCTAGAAAGGAACTTAGAGAATATCTAGTCCAATTTCCATTGATTTTTTTTTTTTTTAGAGAGAGAGATTGAAAGGGAGGGAGAGACAGAGAGAAACATCGATGTGAGAGACACACAGATTGGTTACCTACCACACATGCCCTAATGAGGGCCAGGGATCAAGCCTGCAACCAACACTGAGCCAAACCAGCTAGGGCTAATTTCCTTTTTTTTTTTTTTTAAATTTTTTATTGATTTCAGAGAGGAAGGAAAAGAGAGATAGAAACATCAATGATGAGAATCATTGATTGGCTGCCTCCTGCATGCCCCCTACTGAGGATCGAGCCTGCAACCCAGATATGTGCCCTTGACTGGAATCGAACCCAGGACCCTTCAGTCCCCAGGCCGACGCTCTATCTAATGAGCCAAACCAGCTAGGG